GATGTGGGTTGTTTTTTTTTTTTCAATCCCTCCTGCAGAGAGGATTTAGAAACCACTGCTAGTTACCAGGCACGTTCAGGAGCTGATTTCAAGGCCGGGCACTAGCACCAAGCAGCGTAGCAAGTTCACGCCTCCGCCTGGCTAGACCCCAGAGCCCGTGCAGAGGCGCTGCAGGCAGGCCTGGACCCTTGCTGGCTTGTGGTGAAGGCTGCATGCAGAAGCTGCGTCTTTTTGGGAGCAGGCACCAGAGTCCCATTATGCTGGGAGGGGAGAGGTGGGGACCTGAGATGGGTGCCTGTTTGCGGCAGGTGTGGGGGAGCTCCCCGGGGGCCTGTGCTTTGGGAACCGGAGCCCGCTGCCCTCACCGAGCCAGGCTTTTGATGCCCTTGTACCTGGGGTGGGCATTTAAAGAAGGGCAGGGTGCCGCCATCTCCATCCAGGCGTGCCGAGTTAACCCCGTGCACACTGGGGGTTGACCGTATGGTGTAGGGTATGGGTGAAGGTGGCTTCTTACACGCTTTCCTGTAGCGGAGACCCAGTTAGGGCCAAAAGCATCCCTCACAGATGATAACTGTGTGGCGTCTCCAGGACCCACCGATGCTCCCAGGAAGGTACTGAGGTGGTTTGCCATTGACTTTCAACCGGAGGATGGTTGCCGTTCATTCATCTGTGTCTGGGTGCAGTTTAGTGAGCTCCCCTACCTGGCACCCTTGCCCCCTCCTGCCTGACCATGGAGTAAAACTCCTTTTCGACCCCAAATGTGGTGATCGGGCTGACCCTAAGCAGAGGGGCAAGACCCGCAACCAAGAACCTCCGGGTTTTAGTCCCAGCAGGAGCATTGGCGCAGCCCAGGTGCGAGCCCCAGCCTACAGCCAGGGTCTCTGAGGAAGGTGGCAAAAAATCCCCCTGATGCATGACTAGGGACCCGGTGCTAGGGCACAGCCCTGCCCTTGCAGGGGGCTCTCGATGCCCTTGCACGGCAGCAGTCTCCAGCTGGTTCTGCAACAAGGGCAGCTGCATCTTGCGCCCGTATGACAGGGAACAGGGCGGCGTCTGGGCCTGACCGCCCGCTCCTCGGTGGTGACTCCATGGAGCCTGGCCCCTCCTGTGCTGGTGCTGGGGGTGTGGTGGGCATGTACCAAGACACCCCGCAGCCAGCCAAGCGATCAAGGTCCCTTGCTGACGACCGTATTGGGTCCAGACAGCCGTGCACTGCATCCCAGCAAGTGCAAGTTAAGGGTGGCATCTGGCTCTTTGCACAGCGCTTTGGTGATGGGTCTCGAGGTGTCACACGAAGCTCACTGCCATTGCCCCCGCTAAACAGCTGGGGAAACCGAGGCAGGGCAAGATGGTGTGACTTCCCTCAGTTAGTTAGCTGGTACTAACACCCCAGTCTCCTGAGTCCCCCTCCACTAGCTTTGCTTGCCTGCGCTCCTTCCCACCCTGCAACGTGGCTCCTGGGTGGCAGATTGCCCCGGCTTTGCCCTGTGTCACTGCAGCTGTCTGGGAAGAGGTAGGTGCTCTTCAGGGCAGGTGTCTCCTGAAGCGTGTGTTTATGGGGTGCCTTGAAAGGCTCTGCCAGGGTAGGGGGGCAGGAGGGTCGTGGCACAAAGCAGGGACGGCGAGAGGCAGAGCCGGAGGAAGCGCGCTCAGCTGCAGCCCTTTCCAATTTTAGCTCCACGAGCGCTCCCTCTGCAGCTGCAACGCCGCACGACCATAGTGCAGGGCTCCCGTCCCCACCGGCCCCGGGCTCTGCAGGGGTGCAAGCCCACGCTCCCCTTAGCACGGTCCCGGCTACCCACCAGGACTTCTGCACAGCGGCCTGTCCCTTGATGGCAAACAGTCTCATGTCCCAACCGCTGCAGCTGCAGCTCCGGTCTCCTCCAGACACACGCATGTGCACACGCAGCACCCCCACAGCGTGGAAGTGCAAATCCCACTTAGGAGGGCAGTGGCACAGTAAGTCCTTTACCTGTGTGGGGCTTGAGTGGACAGACTAGCCTCTCTCCATGCATCTCCCTGGTACTGACCTTGAGAAGCAGTTGGCAGAGCGCAGCACGGCCCCGGCTCTAGGGAGTCGGAGAAGGAAGGGGGGAGCCGAGGTCCCCGGGGAATGCCAGCGCCCGGCCGTGGAAACTGGGTGGAAAGGGAAGGGAAATAAAAGCAAGCGAGCTGTCCTTCCGCTACTGCATGTGTCCGTCTGTCTGGCGGCTGTTCGTCTTGCTGGCTGCCAACCCGCCCCCCCCCAGCCCCCCGTCTCTCCCCCGGGTGGCTCCCTGGAGTGAGGTGAGCTGCAAGTGGAGTGTGGCAGGCTGGAGATATTTTTATTTTAGCTCAGCATTGCAGAGGGGGGTTGGTTCAGGAGCTGCCTGTCAAACCAGCTGCCAGAGAGCCAAAGTTAATTCAGGACAAGTGGAGGGGTGGGGAGGGAAGAGGGACGAGGAGGCCTGGCACCGGGGCTGGCAGCCGGGGGCATTGGACCGGGCGCGGGAAGGTTCGCCGGGACTTTTCCCTCCTACTTCTGGGTCAGGCCGTGTTTCTCCAGGATGGCTCATGTTTGCCTCCCAGATTGGGGCTTGTGGCACTGCTGACTTTCCCGGGCTGAAGTGGGATGTGCTTTGCTCCGTGCCGGAGAATCAGGCTCCCGTCGGGAGTTTTATGCGGAAAAGACCCCCTGAGCCCATGCGGGGACCGTCTCACTTCTAGGCGCCGGCTGGTGCTTTCAGCCAGTCTCCCCTTGGCTGCTGGGGACTGGGCAGGCCCTTTGCCAAAATCAGAGAGCGATGCACCTGTGAAGCTGCCTCGTGATGTCCCTTCCCAGCTCTGGGGCCAGGCAGACCCTGGGAGGACCCTCCTGAGCTTTCCCCCAGGGTGGAGTTCAGCTGGGTGCACCCTGCGTGCCGTTGTGAGCAGCACCAGGCTCAGGACAGGGCCCCGCTTTGCCCTCTTCTGCCTCTGTGGTGCTGCTGTCCTCTCCTGGGCAGGTGAGGATGCAAGGAGACAGGAACCATGTGCTCCAGGGAGCATCCCAGAGGGGCTGGGCCAGGCGGTGCTGGCACGAGGGAATAGCCCACAGGCTCCATATGCGATCCGGGCATGGGGGTCTGGGCAGAGTCAGGTCCTCTCGCCTACCCTGAGCCCTCCCTGTGCTGGTGTGCAAGCTCTTAGCCTCTCTAAGGCACTGCGAATGCCAGGCCCCAGCTAGTGCTTTTGGGGCACTGTGCCAGGCCAGCTGGCAGCAGTGTGGCATGACAACGGTGCTGGATCCTAGCCAGCTGTAGGCACCGCTGGGGAAGGGGACTGCAAGGGGCAGGGAGGTGAATGGCTTCGTCCAAGCTCTTGCATTGGTTTAGTAGCTGAACCCAGGTCCCTCGACCCCCGTCAGGCCCCCGCTTGCTGGACTGAGTTTCCTTTCTTCGTGCAGGTAGCTGGCTCTTAAGCATCCCTCTACAGCAAGTCATGGCCCTCCTCACCACAGTCTGATCCCTTTTCCTGGTTCACACCACGCCCATGGGAGGTAGGGGCTGCACTCTTATCCCCATTTCACAGATGGGGAAGCTAAGGCACACAAGGACCAAGTCACTTGTGCAGAAGCTTGTGGCAAAGCAGGGGCACAAAGCCAAGCACCAGACCATCCTGCTCGTCTTCCACCCGTTATGCCCAGCGTGGGACCAACCTGAGCATTCAAACTTGTGTCTGGAGCGGGGAGTACAATGCACCACGGGCCTGATCTTGTTCCCACTGAAGTCAAGGGGAAAATATCCTATGACTTCAGTGCTGCAGGATTGCCAGCTCCACCCCCCACCCCCAGCCAGGGTATTCAATAAGCCAGACCATGGTGTGCTCCTTTCCCAGCACAGGAGAGGTCTTGGCACGGCTGGCTGCATAACAAGCCTTCCAGCCTATGCCAATAAATCACTTCTCTCCGAAGTCCTGTGCAGTAAAGGGGCCGGGATCCAGTGCCCTTGTGACCCTGAGAAGAAAGTAGCAAGGCGATGCAGTCCCCGTCTCTCTGCCAGACCTCCTCCTGCACGCAGCACAGGGAGCAGGTCCTTGTCAGCCTCCTTCCTGCAGTAGTGCCTGGGGGCAGGATGGCTTGTGCCGTATGTGGGAGAGTCCCTGCCTCCCAGCCTGGAGCTCATGCCATAGGCTTGCAATGTCTTGCATAGTCTTGTCTACAATGCAAGACAACCGTGAGACCTCTCCCTCAGCCCGGCCACTGTCTACCCACCGCGGCCTGTTTTTGCTTGTGTGCCCTCGGGGCAGCCAGGCCACTGGCAGAGAGGGATGCCCTCCAGTCCACCGCTCGATGACTAGCTGGGATGGACAGTGTCTGTCTGCGGGACGGGGTCCCCAGGCTGCGGTCTAAATACGGGCTTTGTGGCTTCAGCGGTCAAGCCTCAATCAAGTCGGGGCCTGATGGCTGGATGATGGCTGAATACAAATTAAAGATCGGAAAATGGTTGGGGGGCTGGGACACACGACTTCTGGGGAGAGGCTGAGGGATCTGGGCTTACTGAGTCTGGAGAAGAGAAAACTGAGGGGGATTGAATAGCAGCCTTCAGGTACCTGCAGGGGGGTTGCAAAGAGGATGGAGCGGGACTGTCCTCAGTGGGGGCAGATGACTGAACAAGGAGCAATGGGCTCAAGTTGCAGCAAGGGAAGTTGAGGTTGGATATTAGGAAAAACTTGCTCACCAGGAGGGTAGTAAAACACTGGTGCAGGTTACCCAGAGAGGTGGTGCGATCTCCATCCTTGGAGGTTTTTAAGCCTCCGACTAGATAAAGCCTTGGCTGGGATGATGGAGTTGGGGCTGGTCCTGCCTAGGGCAGGGGGTTGGACTAGATGTGTCCAGCCGCAGCATCATGCATGGTGCTTTCACTTCCTTCTGGGCCAGACATCTGCTGGGCGACCTCCCGAGGTCCCTTCCAGCCCTCATTTTCTATGATTTTGCGATGATAAAGAATTGATGGTGGTACCAATGTTGCTGAATATGTCCATTAATGATCTCAGCACAAAAAAAGTAGGGGTGAGCTGAAGAAATTTGCTGGTGAGGTGCAGTCAGGAGGCACTGTCAGGGCAGTGGAGGATCGGAATATCATCCTGGAAGAACTGGATGATTTTGAAGCCTGGATTGTTAGAAACGGGATAAAATAGAAATAGCACAAAATGCCAGGTCATGCACTTGGAGAGCAAGAGCAAGAATTTCTGTTATAAGCAAAGGCCTCACCAGCTGGAAAAGGCAGAGGAGAAAGCTGTGAGTGTGGGGGGCTGCGAGTCAGCCGCGTGACCCCCAGATGTACCGATCGAGGTAGTTCTAGAAGGGATAGAGAAGGGTCAAAGTTGGTGCAAAAACATACGGACATAACCAGGTAATGAATAAATTAGGGCTGGACACTAGAAGGTTTCTCATCAGCAGAGCAGTGAGGCTCTGGAGCAACTTCCTGTGATGATGGGAAGACAAATTACCTGGTCAGCTAATGAAAGGGATTAGCAACGTACTTGCTTGTGACACCAAGAGACTGGACTCTGCGGCCAAGTAGGTGCCTCCTAGTCCTATGTTAGACATACTCTGTTAGGCCTGGGCTGGAAAAATGCCCCTTGTCCAATGCCTAGCTCTGCAGAAGGGGTTAAATGATCATGGGATTCAAGCTGGGCGCTGTCTGCTGCGAAACGTGGCTCACACAGAGCCTTTCCCGGCTGGCTTGTGCACCGGGTCTGGTGCCAAAGAGCAATTGCACAGATTTGCATTGTGATCTGGCCTCCAAAGAACAAGGGAGATCTTGGAGAAAAGGACTTTGAATGCAGGAATCGCCCAATCTGCCGGCTGGCAAACACACCCGGCTCCAGCGAAGGGCGGCTGGCGAAACAGAGCTAGTAGGCAAGGAGGAGTTGGTTCAGGAAAGACACGGGGCGGTGGGAGGCACCAGGGCATGAATGACTACTCCCACATAAAGGAGGGTTGTTACGGGCGGTAGCGATTGCTCCATAATTAAGGCTGCAGCTGAGTTTCTGCTACAAGCTCGCTCTCTTCCCAATCGCAGGGCAAATCCTACCAGCCTCCAAACCGGCAAGTCTGACTCAGAGCTGAGCTGGATGCTATAACCTGGCGTAGATCAGACAAGGGGCTCCTGGACTGAGCTGTTCAGCAGCCTTTTGAGGTCCTCAGGTATATGGGCCGCCCAGAAAACAATATTTTGTCCTTGTCCGCTCTCGTGGGGCTCTCCCAGCTCGGAGCCGCGGTGCTGGGCTGGCGCTGAGCTGGCTTCTGGATAAAAGCACCCGTAATTGTGCTCTGATGGCTGCAGGTTTGAGTGGACTCTCCCGTCCAGGGCTGGGCTGTCTAATGGAGCGGGAGGGTGCTGGAAGCCTCTTTATTTCTCTGCATAGTCTCCAGAAAGGATGTATCTGCCCCGTTCATGGTGGGCCCTGGCTGGCTCTGTCTCTGTGTCTCTCTCGGGGTCCTTCGTTGTCTTGATTTGCTGCTTGCACCAACAGCCCAACTAAGACCGATTCGATGGACTCCAGAGCTTCCCTTTGCTCCAGTGTTGCCCGATCCCTCGTACTGCATTCGGGGCTAGACTGTGGCCATGAGCCGGCGTGGACGTGTCACAGGGACTGCAAATAAAGCGGGGTGTGATTTCTGGCGGGGGGTGCTCAACCTTTTCACACCATGGGCCGGATCGGGGCCCGGGGCCTCATGCCACCTCCGTCTGCTCCCCCCTAGGTTCAGGCCCCCATCCTGCCTTGTGTGCTCAGTCCAGCGTGCAAGGCCACAGCCCACGTTGCTCCTTATGGACCTATGGAGAGTCGCACGAGTTGGATGACGTGACACCAGGAGCCAGATCTAGCCCATGGGCCAGGGGTTGAGCACCCCTGATTTCTGCGTTTCCTTTCTGTCTCTAACATCTGCCAACCCCGTGCAGGCTGGGCTGCCTGCAAGAGTACAGGATGCTCAGCAAGACTCAGCCCCGTAGAAACAGGGCTGGATTCCTAGCTTGGTTCCTCCATTGAAGTCACTCTGGATGTGCATCAATGTAAACGCCTGTAAGGACCTCCTGCCCCATGCAGAGATTTCCCCTGCTGGTCTGCAAGATGCACAGTTTCTGTCCCCAGAAAACTGCATTTCACGATTTTCCCTCTTGGCACGTCCTTGATCGATGGCACCAAAACCACTGGCGTGCTTGCTAGACTGGGCACGTGGCCCATGGA